GAGGGAATGCTTATGGTTTCCAATTAAACGCACTTTTGAATGTGAGGATTGTGATTATTATTGGTTGGCATATCTGATCTATTATTATTATATTATTATTACCACTTTTGCATAATAATAATTGTTATTTCTTAGATGGGGGACACAAAAGCAGCCGAAAACAATACTAAAGGCGCTGCGACTTTACTGCATTATTTGGCTGTCACACTTGAAGAAAATCAAAAAGAGTTAATCAATTTTATGGATGAATTACCACATCTGGAATCGGCTGCCAGAGTATCGGTTGTAACAGTTATGGCTTCAGTTAATAATTTGGCGACTGGAGTTTCACACATAAGAGAAGAAATACATGCTCTTAAAAAAATTAAAAAACTACAGAATAATGATCGATTTGTTGAAGTGATGGGTGTATCCTTTTGTTATAAATTATGACTTGCCATTTTCTCACCCTCCCCTCCAAAAAAATATGTGTGTGTTATTTCAATTTATTTGTTCAATTTTCGTCCTTGACTTCTTTTCTATTTAATGATAGGAATTTGTGGAATTCATCGAACCAACAGTTACAAAAATACGAGATTTGGCAAAAAAATTGGATAATGAATTAAAACAGCTGCTAGTTTATTATGGTGAAGATCCGTCGTCCACAAAACCCGAAGATTTCTTCAAACTTATTGTATCTTTTGCTTCATATTTTGCTGTAAGCATTTTCTTTATATTGTTAATTGAGTTAAAATGGCTAAATTACATTTAGGATACTCTTACGCTCTTTTTGACATAGAAAGCGAGAATGGAAAACGAAGAATTACGGAAAAAAGCTGAAAAAGAAAGAGAAAGGGAGAGAAATCGACTGGTAACAATTTAATAATTATTAATAAAAATGGTGTTTTTTAACGATCAATTGAAATGATCAAGAACAACGTTTCTTTTGAAAAGGTAAACCGACGCCCATCAGATACTTCGAGTGTTAGCAGCTCTATTGCCGGGAAAGGTGATTTTGATGATGCTATTCGAGAATTAAGATCGGGTCTTCGAAGAGGTCGTGGTCGACCTGTCTCGAAAGTATTTATGGATGTGCAAGTAGAAGAATCACCAAATAGTTTGGCAAGTTCCAATCTTACAGAAAATTTCTGAATTAGCAATTTAATAATTTAAAATGTATTTTTAAATGAATAGCTTTATTGTATCAAGAGAATTGGTAATGTCTTTTGAACTTTTTATATAGCACTTAGAGTTAATATGTTAAATTGTACATTAAAACTTTATAGACAGAACGAATTTAATATGGTGGTTGATTCAATAATTAGAGCAAGGAATGATCCATATATATTTTTTATGCAAATGGATAAATCTAGTGATCACATTGATTATAGTATAATCAACACAAAAGGCAAAAAAATAGTTTTTAAGGAGACTGTTTCTTCAATTTATATTTGACCCTTAAAACATATTCAAAAGCCCTTTTTTTGCAAAAATAATACAATGAGTGGTTATCGCAGGACTACTTTATTTGTAGCTGGTTTTGGTTCTACCTTGCGCGCTCGCGATTTAGCTTATGAATTTGAAAGGTTTGAATCCTACTCTTTGAATTCTTCCTTTTAATATTTGAATTTATTCAATAAAATTTGGCCTTTATAAATTTGTCGCTTACAATTGCCATTAAAAATATAGATATGGACGCTTGATCCGTTGTGACATCCCAGCCCCAAGGAGCTATCAGTCTAAACCGTAAGTAGAAGGCTTGATTAAAATTATTTTGATGTTTATATTTATACATATAATTATATATTAAATATATTTGACAGGTATGCTTTTGTCGAATTTGAAGACGAAAGGGACGCTGAAGATGCCTATTATGAAATGCATGGACGTAGAATTTATGGGCATGCTTTGAACATCCAAGTAATAAATTGAATTTTCTTTCTTTTAAATGAAATAACAAAAAATAATGAAAAAAACTCGAATTATTCGTCAGTGGGCTAAGAATGCACCATCCAGATCGTGGAGATATGAAGGTAGTAGAGGATCCCCTAGACGACGTCGCTCTCCACGTTCTCCAACCCCACGTTCGCATCGAAGACGAAGATCCTATTCTCGCTCTCCCTCTCGTACTCCTTCTCGATCTCGTGGACGTAGCAGATCTCCTCGCTCCGATGCTCGCCGTGGTGGAAGTCGCTCTCGATCTAGGTCTGCTGAACGAGACCGTACCAATGAAGAACGTGGCATGGATGAAAGAAGGTCTAGATCAATATCTCCTACCCGAGGAGATAAATCTCGCTCACCTTCTCGTCCTCGTGAAGAAAACAGGGAGAGGACAGATAGATCTCCGCGTGACCGTTCTCGAGATAGATCCCCAAGAGACAGAAGTCCAAGAGAAAGGTCTGCATCTCCAAGTCGTCCAGGCTCTCGTTCACCTTCAAGATCCCCACGCCATTCTCAATCTCGATCTCCACAGCGTGATTAAATTGATTAGATATTAACGGATTTATTCAATATGCAAGATCAACAAGCTCAGGAAACGGGCAAATATGATGCAATTTTTTTACAGCTTTCCTTGCCATATAAATTTACTGAAATATCCAACAAATTTTACTTCTTAGCACGTGAGTTGCAGATAAATTATGTAGCTCATAAATTATTTTCTTTTCTCTTTTACTTTTATTTCATTATTTTGGGTTTGGTCACAATTTGCGTATTGTGAAAAAAGAGGTTTTATTGCAATGCTTTTAGTATGTCAACATGTTTCTTCATTGGTATTTTTAAACAAAAAAGTGAGCGGTCGATCGGTCGGTTCGGTTCGGAACGGTCGGTCACTGATAGTACAAGTGCATTCGCGGGTTGTAATCACACTATTTAAAGAGCATCATCATCATCATCATCATCATCATGTATACGAGAATTAGAAAATTTCTCTCGAATCTTTTACGGGGTATCCATGCGACTCGAGTCTCCCTCCCTACCTACAAATTTCTCATCACAAATCGCAAACGACCAACCGTCCCTACCTAACAAGTGTATTAGATAATAAAGTATTTTTCCTATATATACATATTTTAGTTCTAACATCAAATTATTATTCATGATTGCTGTGTGTTAGCCAGCTACCGCCCAACGATTGAATGATATTCTTCTATTCTCTATCTTTCTGTCTGTTCGTAGTTCAACCTAAATCATCCACAACTTCGACTTTTTGCGACATTACGACAGCCAATTTGACAATGCGATTTCAGATGAAACTGCGGTCATCGTCATTCTTATTATCTCCTAAAACCGATACGAAATTTTTAACAAATCAAGACGAACTTAGATTTAACTTTAACCATGTGAATTAAAAATCTAATGTAATTTTGTGATTTGATAAAAACAAGCAAATATGATCTTTTTTGTAGGTTTGCCAACATCATCTTCGTTCCTCCTTGTATCCATCTTTCAGACCTAAAATTTCCTCGACGTACAATTAGAAGTCGACGTTCACCGTTACAAAGGCTTTTAAGTAACGAAATTATAATATCACCTCTTGGTGCTCAGCCTTAAATTAGACTAATCTCTATAAGTTATTGCTGGGAAATCAAAATAAATATATTCAAGTAAGTACGGTTATAAGCATTTATAAATAATAAATGCAATTGTTTTTTTGTTAAATAAAAAAAGCATTTTCTATAGTATCGCTTTTATTTACTGAGAAATATTATAATGTTAATACAATCTCTAAAAAATAGTTGTTTATTTCATTTGTGCTAATTCAATAAAATAACAAAACGATTTTAATTAGAATACCAAAAAAGAAATTGGCTTCTTTTGCTGGATTGTAGTTAGGCTTTATGAATAGTGGCTCTTCTCTTTTTAAGATCAGCTTTGCGTTCTTTTTGTTCTTTAATACGCTTGGCAAGAAGTGTAGCGTATTCAGCAGCAGCAGCTTTCGATGCGGCAGCTCTTCTTTTCTTTAGAGCAAGACGATGCCGTTTTCGTTGTAACGTAAGAGGAGTCACAAGACGTTGGATTTTAGGGGCCTTTGTATATGGTTTTTTACCCTCTTTCTTAGGGGTTACCTCTCTACGAACAACAAATTTCCGAACATCATCCTCCTTGCTTAGATTCTACATATTCCGTAAGAGATAGTTAATTTAATATAAATACATTTTAATAAAATTAAATCTGCCAATTAATTAAATTAAAATACATACAAAGAATTTACGAATTTTTGAGGCTCTTTTGGGGCCCAGGCGTTTTGGTACAGTAATATCAGTCAAGCCAGGAATATCCTTTTCACCTTGCTTGACTAATACCAATGATAAAACGGCAAGATCACTTCCGACTATACAACCACGTACAGATTTTCTTTTACGTTCTCCTGTGCGACGTGGTCTATAACAAGAATGACCTTTTGACAACAATAAGCGGACACGATCATTTCTCAAAACGCCCTGCTTCATAGGAAATCCTTGCTTGTCATTCCCTCCTGATATACGAAAGACATATCCCTTAAATTCTTCTCCTAAAGAATCCCCGGGTACTTCTGCACTTATACGCTTGTCGTAAAATATTCGCCTATAGTTGATTCAAATAAAATTACCAATTAATGATAAAACAAGTATTACCCATAAGAATTATTAATTCAAAACCCACATTTTACGTTCATCATCAAATTCAATCAATTTTTGGCAGCCTGTGGCTGGATTGGCGATGTTCAACTATATCGAAAACACGAGTATAATTAAATTTCTTTGCACATAATTTGAAAACATAAGTAATTATATTTACCTTCATTTTTTAAAGAATGAACTTGTAAGAAAAAGAAAATTTTTATAATCGATTAGATGGTAGTATTCTTATCGCGTGCATCTATGTGTTCCATATCCGATTGATGATCCGATGCTCCCGGCTAATCCGATCGACGGCTAAAAAAAAATGGCGAAATTTGAATAACTGAATTATCGTTAATCACTTAATGCAATTTTTATTATCATCTATCATTTGATTTACAAGCTGACGATTTCTAGCTCTCCGAGAAATTCTATCATCCGTGTGCCCATATATTTCTGCGAAGCCAAATACGCGTTTTATTGCGATAAACACGCTTGTTGAAAACAATAAATAATTCTTTCAGCTCTATGTCGATAAGTAGCTACTTCAATCGTAAACCCTGTGACTGGGATATTGTTGACTTTCTTAATAAGTGCAAGCAGGGATCTTTCGAACAAAAAATAGATCGGTATCTTAAAAGCCTCAAGAACATTTCTGACAACGAAAAGGACAAGAGAAAAGAAAAGGCGATGGCACTACTTAATAAATATAAAAGGAAAGTAGTTAATATTAAATTATAACTGTAAATTAAGTGGCGTGACAAGAACCTTCTTGGTTTTTGCCATTCAAAGCTTTTAGCTGAGCCACAAAACCAGTGTTGGGGCACAGATGACCTTCTCGGTTGTCTGATGTTCAAAGCTTCTTGCTGACCCAGCATTGGTCCCACAAGGCACAGGTGACCTTCTTGGTTGTCTTTGTTCAAAGCTTCTCGCTGACTTTGGTGGGATGAAAATTGGAAAATAATTGAATTATATATATGCCAGAAAATTACTAATTACTTTAATGTTAGGGTATTCGAAATGACCGCAAATGTGCTATAGGCTAGAAAAATGAACATGAATCACAAATAAAGTTCTGGTCCCTCAGTTAATATTCACAATTCGACATTCTCAGGAATCTCAGGAAATATTGCGACTATCAATGATAAAACTGGAACTATTAATGGTGGAACGTTTGGTCTTGAATTATCTGCATTAAAAAAGTGATAGTATTCAAAATATAGAAAGGGAACAATCATTGCCTTCTATTCCGAAATCTCGTAAACGAAAAATAAAAGACTTACCAGAAATTAAGGTATTTCACTATTGGGATCAAGGGTCTGATTTGAACAATAATTATAACTAATATTTTTTACAGAATATTAAGATGCGCCTCCTTGAACATCAACCTGAAAGTGAGCTTGACGATGATGAAAATGAAGTATGTGAGAATGAATATGATGATGAATGAAGATGACGAAAATGACGATGATGACTCGGACAGTGACGCTGAATCGATTAACGGAGATAAGGGTGAAGAAGAAATTGAGATGCTTACGCAGGTATCTATTTATTTGTAATCTTTTAATGCTTTTATATAACTGATAAGTTTGTATTTAATTTTCTAGGATGAGGTGGACATTCGTAACAGATTACTCAGAATTTCTTACTGTACGTCAAGAAAAAGATAAAGAGACTAGGAAAATCGATATATCTCTACAATATCATAAATTTATCAGACAACGAAACATATAAACATGTTAAAAAGTCCTTAAATAAGGGTCGAATTTCTTGGCTTGAAGGGGTCCTCCAGAAAAAAATTTGGAAACCTACTCCGGAATTTACGGAATATATCAACCAATTCACGGTACTCGAACCAATATTCCAACAATTGTTCGCAAATCCTGTGTTGCTGGGAGATTTGATTCTTTTTATCACGAAGCACATGATATTGCTCAGCATATACTAATACATTTGTAAGTATTCTTATATTGACAGTTAACATTAATCAAAATTCTTTATGATTAATCTTTTCGAAAATAGTTCTTTACGCTTAGAAGCACCAATGAGAGTAGAATACAAAGGCCTCGATTTAGAAAGAACTTATGCTATGGACACAATAATTACATTTTAAATAGGCTATTTAGGACGAGTTAGATGTTGCTTGGTAGGTATCAATCTAAATTTCAAATTTTAAATTATAATCTTACTAATTAATTGATTTTTTTAACTAAGGATTGAGCAAGTCACTCCAGATACAAAAAACATAAATTTGATGGGTTATATAAAGTTATTAGCACAAGAAACAAAGGTCAAATTATTGTTATTATTGAATTTTCATATGAAGAAACAACTCTCATGTTCAAGAGAGCATAGATGAGTTACTTGACTCATTCAAGAGTGCTAAATATTTCATCATTATGAATCTTGCAAGTGGATTTTGACAAGTAGAAAGGTATTCAAGAAATTGAAAAAAGATAGTTTTTATCATAAATAAAGGATTATTTCATTTTAATGTTATATTATTTGGATTTATCAATGCTTTTGTCATATTTCAAAAATTAATAAATAAGATATTTAAGAAATATATTGACAAATTTATAGTAATATATCTGGATAATGTTATCATATATTCAGAAACTTGTGATGAATATTTAATTTATTTTACAGAAAGTATTAGATAAGTTTTGACAAGTTAATTTTAAGCTTCAATCTGAAAAATATATATTTGATAAAAATTAGTTATCTTTTCTTGAATACATAATTGAAAAAGATAATATTTATTCTAATCTAGCAAAAATAGAAAAAATATAGGATTTTTCAATATTAATCAATATTACTTTAAGAGAATTTATAAATCTAATCTCTTATTATCAAAGATTCATAAAAGATTTCATTAAAATAATAACTTTACTTATAAATTATTTAAAAAGAATAAGAAGTTTAAATAAATAAAAAAGTAACAAAAAGTCTTTAAGCTACTTAAAAAGTATTTAATATTATCATTAATTATTACTTATCTAGATTTCTTGAAATTATTTATTCTCTTTACAGATATTTCTAGACTTGGATTAGATATTATATTAGCATAATATAATAATAAAGAAAAAAAGTAATATTATTACATATATTAATAAAAGAATTAGTAAAAAAAATATATAATATTACTAAACTAAAATATCTCAGAGTAATTTGGATAATTAAACTATTCAGATTATATTTATTATCTGATATCTTATTTATCTTAATTATTAATTATTCAGCACTAAAATAATTAATTAATAAGTTAAATTCTTTTAAATATTTAGTATATTAAATAATAATCTTATATAAATATAATTTTAATAAAATTTATTTAAATAATAATTAAAAATAATATCATAACTTGATTATAATTCTCTGATTAATTATCATAATTAATTATAATTCTCTAATTAGCTATTATAAGTTACAATTAATTAAGATAATATTTTTAATAGTAATTTACTTATTCAAATTTTATTATCATAAAATAAAGAAAAAGATTAAATATAAACTTAAACAAGAATTATATAAGAAACTATTAATAGTATATAATAAAATAATATATATATATAATAAATAAATTAACAGAACAAATCATATTATTATATAATGAATTAAAAACAGATAAATACAGAAATATAATAATATACCTATTATAAATAGCAGAAATATTCAGAAATATGAATATAAAAAAAACTATATTAATAATATTATTTAAATTAATATCAGATGTAAATAAATATTTTCAAGAAGTATTATTATAAATAGTAATATTAAACTAATATAAAAGAAATAGAAGTTAAAAGAACAAAAAAAATAAATTAGAAAAATTAATTTAATAATTAATAATAAGAAATAATAATCTTTAAAATAAGAATATAATATTAAAAACAAGAATCAAAATAATATTTAGATAAATAAAGAAAATAAAGAAACTTCTAAATAAAAAAACTAAATAAGTAATAAGAAGAAGAAAATATAATACATAATCTAATAACAAAAGTTAGAAGATTATAACATAAAAATCATATATTACAAGCAAATAATAATGAACTCTGATTAGAAAATCTATAATAAAAAAATAAACTAGAAATTAAATAGAAAGAAAATGATTAATTAAAAAAAAATAAATAATAAAAAGAAATAATATAAAATATTAAAAGATATCTAGTAATAGAATAAGAAATAGAAATAATACTAAAAAGAAAATTATCAAAATAATTAAGTAAAACTCAGAATTTAACTATTATTAAATTAATTATTAAAAAATTATAAAATGATATAAGAAAAGAATATTTATATTATAAAATGATAATATCTAAAAGAAGAATTCATAAAAATACTAGAAAAATATAAATTATGAATTTTGATATAGATACAGAAAAAATTATTATAAATAATTAATTATTAATATTATTATTAATAAAATTATTATTATTATTAATAAAATTATTAATATTATTTAAAATCATATGAAATTTTAAAGATCAATAAGATAAATAATAAAATAATATTAAATAAATAAATTTATTCAAATAATTAAATATAATACTATAAATAAGCAAACTAAAAGAAAAAATTCTAGAAAAATAGAATGAGATAAAAGATTTAATAGAATAATAATCAGAAATTATAAATAAATAATAAATAAATATAAAAAATTAAGAAAATACAATTAACTTATTAAATTAACTACTATAAAAATAAGATAATAGTAATTTAATAGCAGATATTAAATAATATACTAGAGTACAAGAAATAGAAGTAAACTTCTAAAGATAAGTTAATTAATATAATAAAGTAATTATACAAATAAATATCATATTAGAATTTGATAAAAATATATAAAAATAGATTAATATCATAAATAAACTTTTTGAAGTCAATAAGATATAATAGTTAAAGAAAAGTAAAAATAATATATAATAAATAATAATATAAGTAAATATACTAATTTCATAAAGAATTACAAAATTATATAATTATTTATGAAATAAAAAATATATTATATTAGTAATAATTAATTAAGAAATATTAACTATAATATCTTATGTAAAAATAGATAGAATTAATCTTGAAATATATTAAATATAATAAATAGAGAGCTTAATAACAGAAATAATTTATGAAATACAAATCTAATAAATAAAATTGCATTATAATTTATTAAATAAACAATTATTTGATAAAAAAAATTTAAAAATTAAGTTATAAATATAACTATTATATCAATATGTAACTAATAACTTACTAACTAATACAAATCATATAATATAAATACTAAAGTAATAAAAGAATTTTAATAATTCAAGAAAAATTTTAAATTAAACTCTATTTAGAAAATAATTAAAATTATATAAAATAAGATTATATTTTAATAAATTAATTTATGAAAGTATATAAAATTTTAATATTAATTATGATAATATATATTATAAAGTCACATATTTAATATTGATAAAATTAGTAAATAAAATCATTATCTTAATAAAATATTAAGTAATATATATTTTAAATATAAAAAATAAATTAATAATATATTTATAAAAATAAAAGCAAAACTATCACTCAGAGAAGAAATTAATTTCATATAATTATTCTATATAATATACTTTAATAATATTATTATAAAATACTAATTATATCAAATAATATTTAACAAATATAGCAAATTAATTAGAGAAAGATAAATTATAAATAAAATAACTAAAGAAATAGATTTATTTAATTAATAAGAAACTAATAATCATAATCAAGTTTAGTATTAAAATTCTAAAATTAATAATTTTTAAAAAATTTATAGAATATATAGTAAAACTAGAACTAAGTATTTAAATAATAAATTATCTTATTTAAGAAACTAATATTAGAATAACTTATAGAATGATAAAAATAATTTTAGAGAAAGAGAAAAAATAATTTACTCAAATAATAAAAGATATAATAAGATATTAAGTTTATAAAGAAATAATAAATATTTATTAAACTTTAGAAGAAATCAAAAAAATAATAACTAATATAATTTAAGATCAAGATTAGAATCAAGAAGTAAAAGTAATTCATAAAAATAATCATATTATAATTAAATAAAAGAAAATTATATAAAACAAGAACTAATAAAGAAAGAATATATAATCAAGAAAATAAAAGAAATAGAAATATAATTCAAATATTTGAAATAAAATAAAAAACTGATAAATCAAATAATAATAATAAATAATATTTTAACTAATTATACTTGGATTACTCTCAGTAGTTTATCTTTTCTTTCTTAAATAAAAAGTGAAAAAAATAATCTTTTAATAGTTAGATTTGATCATTTTAATTTTTAAAAATTAATATAATTTAATATTGTTACCATTTTAAGATTATGCATATATAATTATTTAAAATAGTAATAGTAACTGTGTTCATGACAGTTATTAACTTTTATAACTTCAAGAGATTATATGACTGATTATTCTTTTAATAAGATGATATATATGAGATTTACTTTTGATAAAATACAATTATCTTCTCAATAAGATAATTTATATGTGTTTTATTTATAATAAAATATGATTATCTTCTTAATAAGATAATATATGTGAATTTATTTTAATCAAAATGCTCTCTTAATAGAGCAAGAAGAAAATAAGATAAGATATAAGATAAAATATATGTGTTTATTAA